GAAGAAGGAGAAGAAGAAAGAGAGAGAGAGAGAGAGAGAGAGAGAGAGAGAGAGAGGAACATCAATCTGTTGTTCCACTTATTTATGCATTCTTTGGTTGGTTCTTGTCTGGGGATTGAACTTGCAACCTTGGCATATTGGGATGACACTCTCACCAAATGAGCTACCCGGTCAGGGCACTGTATATTCTGTATTGTTATTGATTGATTGCATGCATTGAGGAGAACCATTTGGAAGGTGAATCAGGGAAGTTATACTCAGGAGAACAGTGCGGGTATTTTAAACAGGAAATTTGATGCAGGGAAATAGATACATAGGTGCTAGAGGGCTAGAAGCAAAAAGGGTAAACTGAGATAACCCAAAGATTGGCAAATGTAGGAAACAGCTGTCAGCCCTAGAACTGGGGGAACAAACAGCAGAAGGGAGAGTTACCAACCACGGCGTACAGAGGAGGAGCCTCTGAGCAGCTGTTGCAGGGACCCCTGAGGTAGCACCATGAGGTCGATGCCGACTGTGCTGAAAGGTCCCTGGGCCATAAGTACCTGCTCTTATTGGAGGGTGACGCCAGGAGCAGCTATAGAGACTCCCATCTCCTCATCGCACCTTCCGGCCTCCCAACAGTGTCTCTCATTGGCAGAACACAACCAGAAGACAGTGGGCAAGGAAATTCGGGGATTGTAGTTTGCAGACTCCCAGTTGCAGAATTACAAAATACAGCTCGGAAGGGTGTCAGGCTTGGGACTGAGAGACAACAGGTAAATGCCTGACCTAGCCGGCAATTCATGTTCTAGCTCCTTCAGAACTAGCGCAGGAGCTGTCAATGGACAAAGGCCACTAGGCACCTTTATGACTTTTGATCTTGTGGCTCCTGATTTGGGGGTGGTCCCCTTCTATATCTTTAAACTATTCTCTTCCTGTTTGACCATTATGACTTGACTGGGACATGACAGAATTGCAGAGGGCAGGGAGAAGTGCCAGGTCAGCCGAAGATGCAGAGGGCATCGGATTATTAGCACCTTTCTATGAGTATATTAATAGACTCCCAAGCTTGCTTTAGCTTTTGCACACCTCCTCCTTATTGTGCAATTTATGTACGTGTCAGACCTATAATATGTAGATGAGCTGGTTGTTCTCTTCCAGGTGGTCACCTATGATGTGATTCTAACAGTGCTTCCGCTGGTCAAAACACTCTTTGAATTTCACTGAAGAACTATCTTCAGAGTCTGTGACATGTCCATTTGCTTCCTTCTAATCATGCTTAATCTTTACCTTTTTGAGAGTAGATTCAATATTTTAAAATAGTCTAGACCCCTGAGTTTAATATTGGCATCTAAAGTTAATCCTCAAGGTGAGGCATCAGATAACTGTGTCCTAATTGTGGCCCAATAAGACCACTTGTTTCAAGGTCATTCCACTGAATCCTCTGTGCAGATTATAATCCTAAAGAGGAATTCCTAAAATATTTGTAGCAACAGCGGCATGGGTCGGCTAAGTATAGCCTTTGAAGCTAAGTCCTTTGAAGGACTGAGGTATGTAATGACTTTAGCCAGAACATCTTAGTCTTAAATTTTTTTGGAAAAATTAGAAGGAATGTTAATTATTTTTAAAAATCAGTTTTATTTCTTGGGATCATAATTTCAAGATTCATGGATTACTGGCTGCCAAGGTTTCATACATGCCTAGTTCATGATGAAAGAAACATTCCTTGTTGAAGGAGAAATTCAAGTATAGCCATTCTACAGTTTTGGAGAAAAATTGGATGCTTGTCCTCCCTGTAATGTTTAGCAGGCCAAGATTTGCTGATTAGTGGGTGAGCTGCTAGGGGAAAGTCACATTCTGTCTCTTGGGACCCAGAGGCTAGGGAAAATATGTAAGTTTTCAATGGAATGGTAAGTTTCCAGTTTACAGAATGGCTGAGCCAGCCAGTTTTTCAGGATATTAAGATGGATTATAGAGCATACTGCAAACTGGATGAAACTCAAAAACATTAGGCTGAGTGAAAGAAGCCAGATAAAATTTCCAGAAGAGGCAAATCTACAAAGAAGGCAAGTAGATTAGTGGTTACGTGGGACTGGAGATGGGAATTCAGAGTAGTGACAGATGGGAACAAGGGATGTTTTGAGGTGATGGAAATGTTCTAAAGATGGGTTTTAGTGATGATTGCTCAACTCTGTAAATTCACTCAAAATCATTTAACTGTACCCTTGAAACAAGTGAATTTCATATTATGCAAATTATACCTCAATAAAGCTGCTGTTGTGTTGTGTGTTTTTTAAAAGATGGATTGTAGAAATTTTGGCCACATTTCCAAACCCAGTTGGTGCTAATGTGAGAACTCAATCTGCAAACTCATATGGGTCAGTCTGGGGCCTTCAATGTTTAACGCTCATCCAGGAAGAAATGGTTGGGCCTGTGGAACATGGAGAAAAAGTAACCTAAAGCCAAGGAATCCCGAGTTCCTCTTGGAGCCAAGGAGCACCCAGATCATTGGTTGAGTCAAATTACCCACAAAACCGACAAGGCATAAATTAGCTATGCATTTTGAACAAATTCTTCCACACCCGTCATACAGAGCCCCTAGCAGGAGAGATCTTTTCTCCAAACATAGAGATCCAAGATATACAAAGATATTTAGACCATATTATGCATATCAAATATTTAATCTTCCTTAAGACAATTCGCTTTGCTTTTAGCTTTTCACTAAACGTTCAGCCAACAAAGAAAAAAGAAAGAAATGAAGTTGCTTTGGGAATGAAGCAAGGCCAGTATCAGGATTGACCAGAAGTTTAAAAAGGCACTTTGTCTCAATTCTTTTCCTTCCTCTGCATCCTATTCCTCCCCCCATCCTCCCCAATCCTGAGCCCTAGAAGGACTGGTTCACCTAAAAGCCTCAGCTTTGGCCTTTCATGGAAGCTTCCTGTTCTAACTCTACCCTTCTTGTCCCTCACCCTTATCCAAACTCCCTTTAGGCCTCCTCCAGGGAATGGAGACTAACCAAACATTCATACAGAGGTGTGAGCGATGCTGTTACTGACATCTGTTCAGTTCTGACAGAGATCTGACTCAGGTTCTTTTACTTTTGCTGTGGCCAGTGGCAGGAAACACACACACACACACACACACACACACACACACGCACGCACGCACGAGCATACTTGGAGATTAACCCACACTCTCAGTTGATCATGACCTCTCATCACCTTTGATCCAGAAGGTAGGAACGAGAGATTCTGTCCTGGAGTGAGTGTGTGCCCCAGCCAGTCTCCCTCGGAGCATTCTGCAGGAGCCAAGAGGGACCTGCTTTCACAGCCTGTCAGTCTAATAAGCTTAAGAACTAACATTATTGCACACAGCTACTCTGTGAGGTAGTATTATTCTCCCCTCATTTCAAAAGTGGAAATGGAAGCAGAGAGAATGTAGATGACTTGTCCAAGTCACACATCTGAGAAGTGGATTTGGATCCATATAGCCTAGTGCCATACTTGTCTCCTTAAGCCAGTCTACACCATGCTGCCTCTCTTAGATGCTTGCTTGTGTTCTTCCACCTGAGGGAAGGACAGCCCATCCCTCGGCAGGTCTCTCACCAAGGATGGAGCAGTGAGAGGTAGTGGGTCACCCGCCCCAAAGGGGAGGTGCAAGCTTTCTTTTAAGGGCTGGATGGAGCTCCTGTGCTTATCAGCTCCATCAGATTTGCCCAGCTGGCTCAATTCTTCATTTCATTCTACCTAATCCATCACACTCATTCTAAGTTCAAACTGACCCTTACATTATAAACAAATAACAATAAAGTTTGCATTTCTAAAGTAAAGGCCATTTTGGTGCAGGGAAACAGGATGACTTTGCACATTTTACTGCCACCTGCTGGGAAATTGTGGCAACGACAACACAAATCCATGAAGCACACAGTGCCCCCTGGAGTTGTGCAATGCACAGTGTTGACAACTGCAGGCAGCAGCCCTGCCTAATGTAGCCAATAGTCTGGGGATAAAGGGAGTCTTAGTATATGAGGCATACAAAACAAGCCCTGAGAGATTTTCCTAGTTTTCTCTCGCTACCCTGACTGATAACTAATTCCATGGATCTGCATGTCAAAACGGAAGCTTGACAACCTAAATAAATCTCTACTTAGCGGAATCTAAAGCACGGCGACTAGAGTTTGGGAAGACTTTCATGCAGAGTGAACTGTCTTTGGTTGGTGATGTCTTTAAAAAATCCCTTCACAGCATAATGAGAATATGTTTCTCCAAACATTTGCAATTAAAGCACCTTTATATAAAATATCTCATTGGAAGTACATAATTCTGAAAGGTGTTATAATTGTCTCCATTTTAAAGATGAGAGAAGGACAACAGAGGAGGTTGTTTAGTGCCTTTTCTGTGCCTGACACTGTGTTAAGGGCTTGATAGTTGTTTTCTTACTTAGTCTTCACAGGGATCCCGAGAGTTAGGTAATATCCTCCTGTTTCAGAGGAAGGAACCAAGGCTGAGACTGAATGTTTTACCCAAGGACACTCTGCTGGGAAGGGTCGGAGTAGGGACTTGAACCCAGATCTGACTGGTGCTAAGCCTGAGCTCTTTTCAGTATGTGTATCATTTAGGCAAACCCAGGGCCCCAGTCCTAAAGCTGGCCCCGGCTGAGGTGGGGGCAAATACCAACATTTATTGAGCCCTTTCTACACCAGGGACTTTATACATGTTGTCTTAAATGTTCTTCACAACACCCTGTAAGGTAGGTATTCTCTCTCCTGCATTGTATATAAGAAAACTAGAAGTGGTAGTCAGGATTTAAACCCAAGTCTTGCAGCCCCAAAGCTTGTGTTCTTTCCATGACAGGGGTCCTGCAGGCAAATGTCCTGGCACCTCCTAGAGCTGCCTCCGTGGGGAGCTCTTACATGACTCATGTGCACCTTCAGGGAGACAGATTACTCCCTGCCTATTCCATCCCTTTCTCCTCCTCCCTCACGGAGCTAACAACTCAACCCTGCCTTCTTTCCCATACAGGTGAGCATCTCCACTGTGGGCTACGGAGACATGTACCCAGAGACCCACCTGGGTAGGCTTTTTGCCTTCCTCTGCATCGCTTTCGGGATTATCCTCAACGGGATGCCAATCTCCATTCTCTACAACAAGTTCTCCGATTACTACAGCAAGCTCAAGGCTTATGAGTACACTGCCATACGAAGGGAAAGGGGAAAGGTGGACTTCGTGCAGCGAGCCAGAAAAAAGATGGCCGAGTGCTTGGCTGAAAGCAACCCACAGCCCACCCCAAGGCAAGAGAATTAATGTTCCAGAGGCCATGTGGCTGGTAGATCCTGTGACCTTCAAGGCTTCCTTCCGCCTTCCTTTTTTTATCATCAGGTTTGCCCGTGAAAGGACATGTAAGGCAGACATACACAAAGGGCATTCATTTCACAGAGTTCTACCTCATGAATGTTTGTTTGAATCCAGACTCAGACAGCCTCATATTGTTTGTGTGAGAATCTGATCATCCCAATGACATTGATATGAGAACTCCTTTGGGAGGAGCAACATGTTAGCTTCCTCTTGTAGCTTCTCATGGCTTCTCAATAAATATTTTTGCACTTGAGTTGACTTGAGAAGAATTTCCTTACATTAAAGAAAGGAAATCCTTGATTTTCCAGAGAGAGGGAATGTTGCATCAGAACTATATGAGCCCTGGCGTGAGACCAATCTCAGTCGGAAGCCCGGATCTACCAGCTGTAGGATTTGGGACAAGTTACTTTAACTGTCTGAGCCTCAACTCAGTTTCTTCAACTGTAAAGTGTAGGTAATAAGAAACCACCTGTAATATGAGCATGGAGAATGAAGGTAATATTTGTAAATGCTCAATAAATGGAAGCTGTTAAAACTGTTTGAGTTAGGGTACTGTCTAGTAGATTCTCTAGACGGATGGTTCTCAATCCAGGGAGATTTGGTCATTGTCCACCCCCTACCCCCTGGAAACTTGGCATTTTCTAGAGATGCTTTTGGCTGTCACCATTGTGAGGAAGGATGAGGGAGCTATGGCATCTAGTAGGCAGAGACCTGGGATGCTGCTAAATATGGACAGGACAGCCCATAGCAAAAAATTATCTGACCCAACATATCAACAGAGCCAACACTGAGAAGCCCTGGTCTGCGGTTAACATGCGAGCCCCCAGACTCGACCTGTGAAACATGCTAAAGTGTGCTCATCGCTTCTCCCTTGATAGGAGGCCCCACATGTCCTCACCTCTCTAAGCCTCCTTTCCCTCACCTTTCAACAAACAAACCAAAAAACTCTGCCTTTGGGGGGACTATTCTGGGCCGAGCACTGAACATAGTGAATTAAGTCGATGTGGCCCTCTACTCTGGGCTCTGTCTGTGGGTCAGAAAACCAGCTCCCATGGAGTGTTAGTTCTTTCTCTCCCTGCCCCCTTTCCTCCGAATTTCTTCCTTTTTCCATAGGACTCTTGGGAATTGAAGCCCTGGGAATTAAAGGTGTGTTTGAACTGAGCAAACAGAGATTGGCCCAATGATGAGAAGTTTTGCTATGCTGACCATCCAACGTGTCTCAGGGCATGACTGGACCGATCATGCTCGTGTCGTAAAAACAATCATTTTGTGTGTTCTTACAATTACAAGCACAAATACAGGTTGTATTTTATAACATATGACCTCATTTACCCTTGATATATCCCTAAATTAGGTATTACAGTAGGTCCTCGGGTTACGTCAGAGATCCGTTCCTATGCGATTTTCCCTGTAAGTCAGAAACCACCTACATAAGCACCTACGTCACTCACATGGAGCACATACACAGCAGTAATGAAGTGAAACAATAAAAAAATTTAAAAGAAAGATAATTCCTGACCTTTACTTGTGGTAAATAAATAATAAAAAACATAAAGCAAATATGTACATATGTCAAAATGACGGACCTTTTTTTTTTAAATAAATAAATGGGAGATGGCGATGTAACCACAAAATGACATACATCGAGTTCGACGTAACCCGAGGACTGCCTGTACCTTGTTTTTTATTCAAGAAGAAACAATTTTTCTTTTTTTATTGAGGAAGAAACAGAAGCTCAGAGAGGTTAAGTAATTCAGCCAAGTTGGCACAGTCAGTAAATAGGGAGACCTAGCTTCCAGCCTGGTCTGTCTGATCCCTAAGGCCCTTGCCCGAAGTCTAAACGTGTGGTTCTCAAACTGCATCAGCATCATCTGGGGGCCTTATTAAACAGATTACTGAGCCCACCCCCAGGGTCTCTGATTCAGTAGGTCGGGGTGATACCCGAGGATTTGTATTTCTACCAAGTACGAGGTTATGCTGATGCTGCTGTCCAGGGACCACATCCTGAGAACCATGGTCTAAATCACTTCCCTTTGAATGCAAAACTAGGATGCAGCTGGAAAAACCTAGGCCAGGTTTCCCTCCCCCTTACTCCCAAGTGCCCTGGCATCTGAAGGATGGACAGAAACCCCACTATTTCTTAGAAGGTCACCTAGTTAAAATACAGAATGCGCAAGTAAATTTGAATTCCAGATAAGTCAATAATGTTTAGAAGTATGTCCCAAGAATTGCATGGTATATACTTCCACTAAAAAAATTATCTCCTGCTTATCTGCAATTCAAATTTAAGTGGGCACCCTCTGTTTCCATTTGCTTCTGGGAGACAAAGCTTCCTCATATGGATGGAAATTACCCCCCAAATCCTAAAACCCCACCTAAACAGCAGGACCCTCCACCAAAGGGACTTCTCTCCCTCTTGCCAAGAGGGAGGAATTTTGAATGAGGCTCCTTGCCAGAAGGAACCATGGAAACAGAGTTACAACAGGCAGGAGGTCGGAACACAGTTTATGTAACCACCTGCCATGCTCAGGGCAGCAGCTGCCCCTTAAGGACACAGGGAACAGGAAGGACTGGTGTTCATCACCCCGACCCCTGCTGGAGGCCCTGAGAGAATGACCCCAAGGAGCCCTGTAGAGGCGGCTCCCTGAGAGAGAGAGGGGTGGGGGTGCAGGAGGTCTTGGTGAGGAAGATGAACTTTTGCAGGTCCCTGGGAGGGGATCTGGTAAATGACAGCAGCCCCCACCTCCCAACCTCACTAGCCACATCTGTTGAAACAGCTGTGCTCTGCCTCCCAAGAGAATGAGACTGACAGACAGAAGGGAATGAAAACAAAACAAAAAAAACCAACATTCCATGAGCCCCACTGTGCGCCAGGCACAGAATCAGCATCACTTAATCCTTCAACAGCCCTATGAAGTAGGTTTCAAGGTGATCACTTACAGAGGCTTAGCCACATTGAACTTGACATGATTTTTGGATCTGGATTTGAAACCTGGCTCTGCTATGTATTGTGATGTTGAAGCATGTGAAACTGCCATTTTCATAAAAAAACAACTGAGTATTGGCAATATCATATAGTGCAACTTAATATTGCGTGGTCCCTTAATTTCTTTAAGCCTGTTTCTGCATCCTTAAAATGGAGATAAAATCCTTAGCATACTGTTCAGCTCATGTTAAAGAACTAAATCATTGTGAGCTGCAATTATCATCATGACTATTTTGCTGGCTGCACAGAGTCATTTGTCATCAAAGAGAGGATTCTGCAGATGAAGACAGCTTTTGAGTCCTGTGGCCAGCCCCCTAGCCCTCCAGGGCTGTGCACAAGGATCCTGGCCAGTCTGCCCAAGAGAACTTCCTGTGGTGATGGAAACGTGATGCCATATCTAATACAACAAAACCATGTGTGACTATTGAGCACTTGAAATGTGGCTGGTGTGATTCTGGAACTAAATTTTTTATTGTATTTCATGTTAATTCATTTCATTAAAATTTAAATGGCCACACGTGGCTCCAGGCTGCCACGTTGGGCAATGCAGGTATAGGCCTTTTATCTGCCTTCATGGAGGCATCTGCTCTGAGGTCGGGGTTGGGGGGGATAAAATTCAAGAAAAACATTAGATTATCACTCAAGAAAATATTCACAAAAGCTCCAAATTCCTCCTCCCAGGCTGATGCCTGGCCCCCCAACTCAAGATGAATGTGGTTCCCCACACCTCAATGCTTTCTCTTTCCTCCCTGCTCAACTCTGATGTGGCATCTTTAAAGCTTACGTGATTCTCCATATGTATCCCACTGTATACGTCTGTTCATGTGTGCTGGGCCTTCTCCATGTGTCTATCTAGAACCATTATTCACCCCAATCTGCCCTGCTGCATGGTCCAAGAGGTCTGCCTTCCATGTGTCCCTCACCCTCTGGCTGTCAGCAGATGGGAGGAGAGACCATTCTGCATATTAACTCCCCTCCTCTCTCTCTGTGGCAGGAGTCTGGGTAGCTGCTAAGTTCCCATAGCCAGGGCTCGGTTGAGCAGCCTTCTGGATCAGCCACAGCACTCACAGGTTCCAGTAACACCTCCCCCTCCTATCATTCCTTCAGGCTGTGAATGGTAACGGTCTCTTGCATTGCTAGTCACCGATGATCTCACTGCCCCTTGTTGGTTCCCTTAATCCTGACCATAGCTCTGGAAATAGGATCTCTATTAAAATCTCTTCAAATAACCCCTTTGCATATACCATCTATTTCCCACTGGGATCCTGATTAGTACATCTTGTCTACCTTATGAAAAAGACATTGCTCGTATTCCCCACATCGCCACTGAAAAGATGAGGCACATGTATCTGAAGGTTCATGCCTCCCCAACACATCACCCCAAACTGAGAAATACAGGCCTTGGATTTCCAGACCAGGAGGCATATTCAGCTCACAGATGGTTGGTAGGGCAGCAATGATTGGCACCCTTAAGTGCCAATAAATGATTCATTCTTCCTGTCAAAGTATCTGCTCTTTTTAGGAGCAGTTTTCAATGACTCAATCTGTTGAGTTCCCTTCCGCAGCCCATCCTACACATACTAATGAATTTTCATGACTACATGATGGAACAATATGCATAAAATGAGCTGGAATATATGCACCTAGGGACAGAAAGTGCCCTCAGAGAACATTAAAAAAAAACCCACCTTGGCCAGTCTTCTACCTTCACTCAGGTAAGGTTTTATTAACCTTGTTTTGTAAGTGATATAACTGATACCCAGAGAAGTTAAGAAATGTGCCCAGAGATGACAAACATCTGTTTCCCATGCTGCCACCCCCTTCCTATGTCCACAGCGGACATTCTTAATCAACCACATTACTCTCTCCCATTGGTGAGCCTTCTCATTGCCTTTCCCTAGCAGCCAATGCAAAGCTGTCAGAGTTGACATTCAAGACCTGTCTGCTATCCTTGCACATGCTCAGAACTTACTGGGAACTACACTGTTCTTTTTTTAAAAAATATAGGTTTTTATTGATTTTAGAGAAAAGGAAGGGAAAGAGTGAAACATCAATGTGAGAGAGAAACATTGATCAACTATGTCCCATATGCACTCCAACTGGGGACTGAACCCTCAACCTGGGCATGTGCCCTGACCAGGAATCAAACCAGTGACCTTTTGGTGCATGGATGACACTCAACCAACTGAGCCACACAGGCCAGAGCTACAGTTCCTTTTGAAGGATTTTCCTGTAAATCCAGAAAACCTGTGCAGACTATACTTACACTATCCTTAATACTATTAAGCCTTTGTAATCAAACTTCCCTGAGCCTCAGTTTCTACATTATAATATAGAGATAATTAAGACCTCCTCAGGAAAATTACTGGGTATATGAATTTAAAGTACTTGATACAATACCTATCATATAGTAAATGTTCAGTTCATGGTACTTCTTATTATTCATTATTCATCAATGGTGTCCACCATCCATAGAATGCCCCTCTGCAGTGCTCATTAGAGTTCATGATTATTGGTCTGTTCACAAATATGTTAGTTCTCCTGGGAGTAGA